AGATCCAATCCAGGGACACTGTCCTGGGCGCCTTTTATTTTTTCCTCCTTTCCCATTTCCTTCCTCCAATGCCATCCGTCCCCAAGTTGCTCAAGAGATTGAGCTCTCGGAATATCCGCAGATCCAGCAGCACTGAAGATGAGGCGCCACCTCCTATGCCAGAGCTTTCGAAGGATCTGCGCCGTGGCATGACTCTTCCCTTCGCCGTCGCTGGGCTCACTTTACAAGACGTTACATCTTCGGAAACATCTTCCCAACGAACAGTCTCTTCTGGCACTAATGTCCATCCCTCAGCTCAACCGGAAACCCAAACGCGTGATAGGCCTGTGGCAGCAGAAAAGGCGGTTGCTTTGGCCAATGCAGAGAGCAAATCCCTGGCCGTTATTGCCACGGGTAACACGATGGCAGACCTTTGGGGCTCTGTAACCGACGCTCAGGATGAGAAAAACCTATCAAAGGCGGAGAAGTATGTGAATAAAGCCAGTGATCTCATCGGTGAGCCTTGTTCAGTATTCTTCCTCGAACGTATCTCGACGAGTCCTGTCAAGGTGGTGCTGTCGCGGGGGCTGAAACCGCCAATGGTGCTGTAGGCTTCATTCAGAGTGTCGTCCAGAACGAGGAAGTTCAGGCAATTGGCAAGACGATTCTGGAAGGCATTCCTGCGTTGATGGGAGCATTGGAAGAGCTTTCGAAGGTGCATCCATTCCTTGCAGGTATGATATCTCAAGGATCTCCGTGTCATCTGCCAACCCCCTTCAGCGGCGTATCTTCCTTTCAGATTCATATATGGCCAGTAAGTCTCCTTCTTCTCTCCGCGACGAGATACTCAGTTTGAATAGAGAGATGAAACGCCGCGACAATGACCAGAAGCGCAAAACATTGTTCGAAAAGATTAAAGATACCATTATGGTACTTCTCGAGTGAGGTCTACTCCATCGTCTCTAGTATGTCATCTTCTAACAAATCCTAGATTAAAAGATGTCAAAAAGGATGACAAGACGCGCCTAACTCCCAAAGGAGAGCCCCTTCTGGATCGCCTTGCGACTGTCTGCAAAGGTTTCGAGACCGACATCAAGGAGTGCTGGAATGGTTACCTTCTTCTCTTCTCGCCCCATAGTAGCGATATTGACTTTACTCGTAGTTCTCAACGCGCAAGAGAAAAAGGGTCTGGTAGTCAAGTTTCTCAAGGCGTCAGATTGGAACACGAAGCTGGCTGAATACGGCGTCAAGTTTGATCAACGACGCTCTGAACTCCAGTTCTCGCTTCAAATGCAGACAATGACTGTCGTGCAAGAAAACAATGATATGTGAGTTACCTAATTCATTCCCCTTGCGCTCACTGACCGCGTCCGATGCAGTGCCAAAGAGTACGTTCATGTCTCTCGGTTTATCCATTCACAAGGCTAACAATCTCAAAGCACACGTAAAATGGTCGAAGAAATGGCGCAAATGTTGAAAGCAATGCAAACACCCAACGAGCGTCGCTTGGAGAAGTGGTTCAAAGACAATGGACAGTCCAATGTGTCGGCTGTCTTGGCAAATCCGAGTCAATGCGTCCAGCTACTCCAATTTGAAGGGGAATTGGGCCCTGGAATGCAACAATCGATGACTGAGGAAGCCCGAATCGCGTCCCTGCGCCGGGACTACTACGAGGACATCAAGGTCGCTATTCAAGATAACATGGAGGGCTTTATGCAGCGTTTCGAGATGGGATTGGATCAGCTGAAGGATGACCTCAAGTCTTCTATCACACACGAGGGAGACCGTATGATGCGGGCGCTTTCAGGTGGTCCGCATAAGAGGATCAAAGATAAGGTGCGGATACTTCCGAGCCCACAATTGACGACTCATCGTTGTCAATAGATCATGTATCACGTCTGGAAGGAGCAGGCAAGTTGGTATGCGAAGCTACTTTTCATACTAACAATTTTTAGGGATGGAAAGGTAGCGCGAAAACTCGGCCATTGGTCTTGGCCATTCGGGATTATCTCGTCGAACGAGTTGAGCGGAGTCGAGGCGAGGGCGACCTCATCGTGGCATCACCGGCACCGGCTGATGATGATGATCCGGATGATCTTGCGAAGGATCTGAGCGAACCCCTCGAAGATGACTGGATAGTGGATTTCCTTCAAGTGAAGCGACTTAGGCTTCTTCAACGTAAGTCAATCTCATCTTCAGTGCATTCATGTATTGATCTCAATGCAGAGGCGTTTGATAATGACGGTTCCGGCTTCACGTACGTTACAATTACGAGTCTGCCACGAGTATGACCTGACTTGTTGGCAAGGACCATTTCGGAAATCAACACATTTACTCGATCACGTCCAGAACATTGGAGGTATGGAGCATAAGTAAATTATCACTCCGAAACTGCTCATCTCGGTACCAGTCTTCCTCGTTGGATTTCCTACTGGACTGTCGGTTGGCAACTCTGCGCAACAAAGTATTGCGTCGAGATAGACAACATATTTAACCAGATGGTCCTGCTTCGAGAGAAGATCAGTGTGGAGATGCCGGTCAACACGACCCGTGTCAGCACCTATATCAATGGTGTCTGGCCGCAGGTGACTGCGCTGACGAGTGCTTTCGAGAGATACGACAATGCTCCGTATTGGCTCGCATCGCAATACCAAGATCTCGTAAATAGCGAGGAAGAAACGCTAGGCAATCGTCTCAACCGCATCTCATACGATATCGATACTGTCGACACCGTTTCTCTTGTAACTGGAGAAGACCATGTCGAGAAGGTATTTGGACGCACACTGTTCACAACAATCACTCACTGGATATTCCTAGCAAATATTCACGATACTGACACTCATACTTCGGCGTCACCTCGCGAAATTCCACTTGTGTTTGGAGCAGGAGATTGCGGATGAGGAGCTGAGAGATGATATCGATACCATAGATAATGTCATCAAGGCTGCCTGGCTCCGCTTCCAGAATCTCACCGGTTCGTACATTCACACCCCGAACATGTGATGTAATTAACATCTTTTCCTAGATCTCTTCAGAAGTCAGAACGTAACAGACATGAAGCTGGCTTTTGAAACGCTTTCAGCTGGATTGGTTGAGTGTTTCTTCCGATTTCGTGTCACAGATCTAACATTCCGCTCTAGTTCCGAAACTACTTCGAGTGGCAGACATACAATAACAAGAATCACTTCAGAACCAATCAACGATCAAACTCTCTTATGGTGTCTGAAGAGATCATGACTCTTGATCCGTCTCCTTCAAGAGATATACTCAACCATGATTTTTCTGAGACAGCAGAGCCATCATCAAGGTGTGAACCCACCGTCAGTTCGCCGGTATTTCCTAACAAGATACAGTGGACCAGAGGACGAGACGGATGATTCTACATCTTCCAGCACTTTGACGACGGATTCTCTGATGTACGCGACCTTTGTTTTTCCAAGCTAAGACTGACTTGCATAAAGTTCCGGTGACTGGTACGGCTTTGAATACACCGAAGACCACAAGCCTTCAAGTCCCATGCGTCGTTTCACTCTTCAAGCTCAGACCTCTTACTTTCCTGCCTACATCCAACCCGACAATGGAATAACGGTCCCAGAGGATGACGAAGGCGTCAAAATCATCCTTGAAGGGCGACAAAACCTGTATACCGGTTACCACTCCGAGATCATCGACGGTGATATCATTCTGCCGAGAGGACCGGACGCCTCGATAGACCATCTAGAGATCAGCTTCACCGTCGTCAATGAAATCGGGGTCGAAGTCACATATTCCGGAACTTTGTCGCAGGATACCATTGATGGGACTATTACAGTTGGTTTGAACAGTTCGCAGGACTTCTCTTTCTTCCTGAAACGCACGAATTCTCCCGAGACGATGTGTTACCGTCCTCTGTCCGAGAAACTCGGTATCCAAGAGCGTTGGTCGATCGTCAGACAAAGTGTCTCTCGACGAGGACTTCTAGCTCTTTTGGACATCAAGCGATGCTTCGAGCTCACCCACAAGTACGACCGAGGCGATATATCCCCGGATGACAAGAAGATGCTTGTAGCGCTGTGGAAATCCTTCACATTCGAGCAGTATCGAAACATCTATACGGTGTATCAATGGTACATGCTGACCGCTGACCGGCAGCCTCAGTCAGTATCTCCCCTTCTTTTATCCAACTTGTAACTCACGAGTCCACAGATTCCTCGTTTGCAGCGTATGCGGCAGTCCTATTCGACGATCCAGAGTCATCTGTATCGACTGTCGACCCGACGACGGCGGTTTACTTGATCTATGTCCCAAAGCGAGATGCGTGGGGCAACATGACCGCAAACACCTCCTCCTCAAAGTCCGTAATCCATTGCTCATGAATCAATATTTCGATCTGTTCGAAAACGCCAAACGATGCTACGAATTGGCGTCAAAGCAGTCGGACGGCGAGATGCATTGTCTCGTTTGTAAGCAGGGCATCTCGGCACCGTGCTGGTACTGTCTAGAATGTAGTAAGTTGATGTTGGGGTTGTATTGTTTTCGATCTGATCCAATTTCAGCGGCTATGGATGCATTCGTGTGCGATAGTTGCGAGGAACTTGTGGAATCAGTGTTCCCTTGGACTCTGGTCGCTCGATATCGGAAGGAGGTATCTGCTGGATCGGACAAGCACAATGTCTTCCACAATCTCGTCAGATTCCGCGCTCGTGATCCCCATGTTGACGTCTCTGCCCTGGTCACGGTGGGTCCTTCGATGAATGATCTTCATGAACTCGTGGAGAAGCGGCTGGTGGATATGGAAGTAAGGCTCACGGAGAGGATCGAAAACATGATTGAGAAACGACTGGACGAGATGGAAGGGCATATGGTCTCGAGAATGGAGGAAATGCTGACACGTGTGCTATCGAGGTCGCAATAGGGACATCAGTGGATTTTTTACCAATGAATCAGACGTATGCTGGAGCAGATATGGAGGAACTGTGGGTTGATCATCCGACGTGAATCGCTATATCCCCGAGCTGGACCCATCCGAGCCGTTGATCCAAGGCGACATAGCTCAGCTGGGAGAGCAGCAGACTGAAGTCAATCCGGTTCATTACAGTTTATCTGAAGGTCGCGCGTTCGATCCGCGCTGTGGCCATTTTGCTCGCCGGGCGGTTATCTTTTAGACAAGTATTGGCGAAAAAGAATACCTTTCAACACTATGGCTGACTACCGAGGGGACCCTCCGCGAAAGAGCTTGCGAGCTCCTGGTATCGCCCCGACTGCTACCTGGCAAAAGAGCTTACGAGCTTATACGGGGTGTGCTCCTACCCCGTATAAGCAGGTAGGTTCCGCGTTCAAGCCACGATGTTGCCATTCTTTTTCAAGCGCGGGGTTGCACGTTTCTGGCCGTAATAGTGTTGCAAAATCGTTTTTACAGGCAACTTGAGAGAAATTCATCTAATTTATGGTCAACTTGGCCATAATCACACATTTGACACCCAACTTCAAGAAATAAGACAAATGAAGCTAACTTCAGAATTGGCCAACTTCGGAGTTAATAATCGGGCAAGTTCAGATTAGATCAACTTGAAACTGGTCAACTTCCCGAGAGGCAACTTCAGATTCAGTAACTTCAGATTCGGGCAACTCCTTGGATTGTGTCAACTTTGGATCAGGACAACCTCAGACTCGGTCAACTAGATTTGGAGTGAACTTCGGCAGGGGGGAAGTTCGGATCAATACTGGCCGAAATTGCTGGCAGGTCACCTGACATAATGACGCATCATTCTTCCTTCCTCCTTCTTGCCTCCTTCCATGATTGTCAGCAAGTTGGCAGGTATCATTTCTGGTTGGCTTCTCTGCATCCATCCATCTGAAGCTTCAGGCTTTTGATTCTTAGGGAATGGAGCTGTATCCTGGTGCTTTGCCAGTGCTACTTGCCGGCAAAGTCTGTGGTTTTGACGTGAGAGTCAAATTTCTCCTACGATGCCACGGTCATGCTTCGGACTTCTCCAGTGGCGTAGAGCCCATGCCAACAATATAGCGCCACATTCAATCAGCCTGCTCAAAATCGAGGGGAATTTCGCGTGGACCTCTGGTGACATCACTGATCGATCATCGACGGACTCGGTCACCTTGACCTGGATTTGATTGGTAATCTGCAACTGTACAGTTGTTACACAGTTGTCACAACAAGCCTCTGGGCGTCATCCAGAGTCAGAAATTGCATCCGACCATTTCTCTCAATACCATCCTGGGATTTCCGCCATGTTTGCTTCATCTTTCATCGACCTGGTCATTCTAGCTTGCATGTCAACCAAATGCTCATTTGACGGCTCCTGTCAGCGATTTACACCCGAGGACGGGCCGATGGCGACTTCTCCCGGTGTTCATACCGTTGGTATTGGACTTGCCTACGGAAGCCCTTATCTCCACAAAAAATGCATCTGCGGATGTTACGGTGCCCAGCACAAGCTGTTTCAGCCCGTTGACGACGTAAGAGCTGTCATTACCCCTCTTTTTCTTTTTTTGGCTAAATTCGATCTCTCAATAGGGACCTTCTGCGATACCGCAGGCTTCAGCTTCAGCTCCTACCCCAGGATCCTCTCACCCAGAACCTTCTGCTTCTCGTCCCACCGTCAAAAGCTTTGCTGCAGGAGCGAAGGCAAGGAAAGAGGCTCTCCAAACCGAGTTCGAGAATGGACCAAACAAGCGGCCATTCGAGCCAGCTCTCAAGGTGCTTGATTATCTTTCATCTGCCTGATTGCTTCGCTCATGTTTTTTCCCCTAGATTTTCGAGGGCATTAATCAGAACAATCGTACGACCGTCCCACCTCGCAAAAAGAAGAAGACCGACCTGAAGGCCGGGCCAGCTCCGTCGAAAGCCACCACTGACGCTCCTGTCAAACTCAAAACCACTGAATTTACCTTCATCCTCATCCCTGATACTCCATCGGTGCAAAGGGGCACCTTTCCAATGCCCACAAAATCAGGGTATGCGCGATTTTCTCTGTGCTATCATTTCTCAATTCTTTTCGCAGGTTACAGCTGCTGCATATAGCTGGTTTCGTTCGACGTATCACCTTGAATTCCCGAATGTCCAACCAAGAGATCCACGATCTTGTCCATCGCGAATTTTCCGAAGCCAGGACATCGGCCTGCCACATCTATTCCAAGATGCTCCTTTGCTGGCAGCGTTACGTCCCACAACCCCGCGGTCGAGGAAAGCCTCCTATCCTTGCGCCACTAGGAATCGCTCCAATGCTGTCTTACAATGATCTCCTTATGTGCGTATTCGAGTCTCTGTATCCGTCATGACCTGCTGACAGACTCGGAATCTAGGGGCAGGGATCACAGTAAATCTGCCGACCAGCAGGCCTTTCCAAACCGGATCTATATCTCGCTCGCTTTGGGATCCATGGCTATTCCTATGGCGCAACATCCCTCTTCTACAGTCGACCAGGATGGAGACTCTGATGATGATAGTGAAGTAGAAGTTGTATCGGAGACAGTGAATCAGAATGACGACGACGAGTATGTTCCCTCAAAGCCGTCAGCTTCTTTTGTACGTGATTCTCTTTCCGCCATCAAATAATCTGACTTAGCCAGACGCCCGCTACTTCGTCGTCGCATTCTTGGACACACAGCCCACCGCCTGCATCCCAGGCTCCTGGTGTTAGTCAAATCTTTGATTTCGTTGCCTTCGTTGATTCCTTCCCAGTCTTCCTCACATCCCGTCGATGATAGAATGGATATTGACGAGTCTGATGGTTTACCGGAAGATCCTTGCCCAGGTTTGTTTGACGCCTTTTCTCTAAAGCCACTGTGCTAAAATGAACCGCAGAGAAATTCATCAACGTCAATATCAAGGAGCTCTATCGTAGTAACCGCTATATCTGTCGACCTGTAAAGAAATCCCCATGGGTGCGTTCATTGGATTTGTAGAAGGCCTGCTAATTCACACAACTCCATTATTAGTGGCCCGAAAATGATGTCGATGCTCAGAAGCCTTGGATCATGCTCAACATGAACATTGCTTCATACTCGACACGTCTTCTGCGTCTGGAAGACAAGGACATCCCTTTCGCCGTATCAGGTCTCACACGCTGCTTGCAGCAAATGTTGGAGTCTGGTGACGTCTTTTTATGCATGGAATTTCTCGACAATGCCCATGTGATGCTCACCACCGCCAGTCCTGACGATTCTTCAGGAAGGAGCCATTTCGCCGACATCTACAGTCTCGGTCCTTATGGAGTCTCGCCCCTCATCGATTTCCTCTGCCGGGTTTTCCACCTCGTCGAGGAGCATTCTTCGGCGATCCCGGTTGAGATCTATGAAACCTGGTATCCTGTCATGGCCAGGGAGTGCAATCGGCTAGAATTCCTGCAGTCCACCTGGCGAGAGATCATCCCCAACAACCATGATTTCGCTCCTGACGGATTCCGAGACCTCTTTGAGGTCTTCCGTTTACGCAGTGGTCTGTCAGATAAACTCGCAGTAAGTCCACCAGTTTACTTTTGCCGATTTTGGCTCCACGACCCAACCCGGTACCGCAATGCCCAGCGACCGCAAATCATTGGAGCATCATTATTGATTCAATGTCAAGGCTGTCCCGAGATCGCTTCTATGAGCTAGTCTTGCAACGTTTCCCGCATCCAAACCCGTCGAAACGTCGAACCTGGGCTCAAATTAAAGCTCAAGGTACCACCAGCAAGCAGTATAGGGCGATGACCTTGGTACGGCCTTTAAAGCTTTGTATTTGTCTTCAAGTGCTAACTATTTCTTGTGTAGATTTACCACCCAGATCGAGTGATAAAAAGCGAGGATGGCGCGGTCTGGGAAGAGCAGGTTGCCATGATTTCACCGCTTCTGAATGCGTATCACCATTAGTCGTTATAGTAATCACTGTTTTAGAACCACAATGCTGTGTCCAGAAATAATTAGCACCGCATTACGATGAAACAGGATCGAAGACAATTTAATAGGATCGACCGTTGTCTCCCTTATGACCTTTGTTTCCCATATCCCTCTTGCTGTCGATGACCAGTCCGGCAGAAGACGAAGACCTCATTATTGCTGTTTTCATAATGAGTGGCGGGACCTGCCATTTTGGGCATTTTTTGCGCCAGGCCCCAGATTAGGGTTACAGTGTCGGGGTAGGTTCGGGAGCTTCCTCTGTATGCTGTTCATTCTGCACAAAAATTAAAGGCATTTAACAAGATTGACTTCATGAGCCCCTGGTTCACAAGCCTTTGTCAAACCGGGCAGAACTGTATGGAAATACAGTTGGGAAGAAGATTTTTGTCCGGTTTCGATGTTGGTTTTTATCCGGTTTCGAAATTGTTTTTTGTCCGGTTTCGAAATGACGTTGTCTCCGGTTTCGAAATGCAGATTCCGGCTCGGAACAACTTATAGCCGGCTAAGCGCGATACCTTGAATGGCAAGGCGGGAGGCGGTCTTGCATGATTGATGGCGCATCAGGTGCGCATGTGCCCTTTTGAGACCAATCGTCGCTCAGGGTCGAGTAAGAAATTCATCAAGCTCTTTTTTGAGGGATACAGTTCGGTGAAAGTGGTGTCTCCATTTGTATTTTATTTGCCATGGCTTTCTCTATTCTATGATGGGATCATGTTGAATGGATGTGACGGACATTCCTTATGTATTTATCTTATCTAGTCAGTAGTGACTTATTTGGCTCACCTGGTATAAAAGGTGAGCCATCGACGCAGTTTTCTTTTCTTTACGCTTACACTTACCTTTATTTGCACTGTCGCACTGCAAACCCCAATATATTTGGTCTCATTTGCTTAGTGCGTGAAGGAAGAAGCGTGAGGCTAGCTGTACATGCAGAACGTCCATCGAATCTGATATCGGAGGTCTGTACGTACAGAAATTATTGTCATCGGAGTCAAGACAGAGACCAGGCCGAGAGGTCAATGTCTGCTGACAGTGATGCGATTGACTCGGAGCAGAGGCAGCATGGTCGAAGGCCATGGTGATCAGGCCTGACACAGAAAAAATTCAGAAAGACAGAGGACTTGGCGGCTGCCAGTCAGAGGTACAAATAAGTCACGCAAAACAGGCACAGCAAATTACTGAATAGTAGGTAGTAGGTGAAGCCAAACACAACCCTCAAGATATCGATATTTTTCTTTT